AAACATCGATGCGGATGGTTTGGTAGTTCCTCCCCAGAAGGAATGTGTGGAAGGGGAGAGGGAGGTAAGAAACGAAGGTCCGAGCAAAGAGGAACTTTTGGCAGAGCCTGAGAAAGAATCAGAGAAGCAGATATCTGTGAAGGAAGAGCAAGATGCGAAGAAGAAGGAGATATCGGTAGAGAATACCTCGCTGGAAGACGACCGCTATCTAGAGGCAGCCATTAAGAAGGCAAAGGAGACGGTAGCGGAGATGGAAGAAGAGAAGAAGAATAAGAAGAAGTCGAGACGAGGTAGAAGAGGAAAACCGAAGAAGGAAGAGAAAGGAAATGAGGAAGGCCGTAAAGACTCGGATACGACGCAGGAAGTAGTGTGTGAACCCAGGAAGGGCGAACACCTGAGAATCTATGGATTGCTAGAGGGCAACGTGAAACTGGTGTATAAGTTGATATACCGGTTGGTGGAAGTGTGCGAACTGGAATCGATAGTGCAGGATGTCCGAGTGACAATTCTCCGCAAAATTGGCCAAGAGCGCTTCTTCAAAGTGACTGGGAAGGGAATCACGAACGATAAGTTTGTGACCCCTTTCTCGGTGCTTGGGAACCATATGGGATTCCGAGTGAGAGTGTTTCTCCAGAATCCCCGGCGACCAAAGGGGAAGAAATACCAATTTGACAGGAGACTGGTGTACGGCGTGGCAACCCATAATGTAGGGACAGTGAAGAAGAAGAAGATCGAAATCCTGAACTACATGAATGAGGTGGGTGCGATCGTATTGGCGCTACAGGAGACGAAACGGACGGAACGTGATGAAGTTTGGAAAGTTCCGGGCTGTGTGGTTTTCGAACACCGGCCGAAGAAGCTGGTGAAAGGAAACCTGGGAATAGCGACGATCGTTCAGAGAGACATGTTTCCCGAGGTGCTCGAGATCACAGAGAATATGATCTGGATTCGGTGTGGCCGAGGCGAGAAGAAGCTTGTGATCTGCAACGTGTACATCCCTACAGCGAATGCTGGGGGGAAGAAGGAAGTGGTGAAAGAAGATCTGAAGAAGAAGATAATGGGTTACGCGGGAGATAGGAAGAATGTGAATTTAGTTAGTGGTAATGGGAGACTTCAACATGACTCCCTCGGAGGTGAAGAACTGGATTCGAGGCCAGCAGATCCCCGTGGAGGTAGCTCCAATGGGGAGAGGAGAAGTAACCTTCAAGAGAGGAAGGATTGTAAGCGTTATCGACTATATTTTACATTCGACTGGAGGGAAAGCAAAGTGTAGCCAAGTCTCGGTAGTGGATTCGAAAATCTCAGATCATAATGGATTATCTGCAACTCTGAGCTTTGTGCAGAAGACTTCAGGTCCGGTGTACAAAAGTGTGAACCGATTTGCAGTACTCCGACGCTTGGAGGATGATTTGGATGACTCCAAGTTTGACATCAGCCGGTACCAGGGGTTGATAGAGGGCGAGAGTAGCGAGGCTGTGTCTCGATTCCTAGTGGAATTGAAAGACTCGCTGGAGCAGAAAGGAATGGTCCGAGCGCCCAAACCTGGTAAAAGAGTAAAGAAGCCGTTTCCGAGGAAGATAAAGAGATTGGCGGAGAAGAGACGGAATTTACTGAAGAAGAGACACAGAGGAGAGGAACTATCGCAGGAAGAGAGAGCCCTGATGAAGAAGTGCCAGAGAGCCATAAAGCAGTACAAGGAAGAAGAGAAGATACGTGCGATTCATAGCGGTATAGAATCCCAACTCCGGAATGATAGCCGCAGACTGTCTCAATTTCTCACGAAACAGCTGAACGAGGAGAAGAGCAGGAAGGCGATGGTGATAAAGGATCCTGCAAGTGGTAGGCTGTGTACCGACGAGCACGAAGTGGCTGATTTGTGGGCTGAACACTACAGGAAGCTAGGGTCAAAAGGAAATGGCCATAGCAAGGATCTCGGATACTGGGAGAAGTTTGAGGTGAACAAGCCTCAAAACCAGGGTATGTGCGGGAGCGAAGAGTACTGGAATAAAGACATATCCTGGAAGGAGGTTCGAGAAGTAGTGAAGACGATGGCAAACGGGAAGGCCTCGGGTATAGATGGTATTCCAGGAGAAGTATACAAGGCAATAACGCGAAATAAGTGGCCTCGAGGGGATCGAGGACTAGCGTACATATTGCTGAGAGTACTGAATGCCATCTTCCATGGGAACATACCAGAGGACTTGATGACTTCTACGGTAGTTTCGGTACCGAAAAAGGGAGATTTGACGGACATGAACAATTACAGAGGTATCAGTTTGATGCCTGTGTGCGTGAAGATCGTGGCGGCAGTGATAGCTTGTCGTATCAGCTCCGTCTTTGAGAAGGAGCACTTCCTGTCGGATGCCCAGGCGGGTTTCCGTCCAGAACAGGAGTGTGTAGGGCAGGTCGGAGCTTTGATCGAGATTATACAACGATGGACTATCGAAGCGCGAGCGGTGAAAAATCGGATAAGGCTGCCGGAAGACGAGTTGCAGGCATTTGCATGCTTTATCGATTTTAAGAAGGCGTACGATACGGTCCCCCATGAAGCACTGTTGTATAAGTTACGAGCTTACGGGATATCGGGTAAAACGTACAATTTTATCCGAACCCTGTATGACCGATCTTACATAAGCGTACGAGTGGGTCAATTGCGATCCCCGAAAGTACCCTTAGAGAGAGGTCTACGTCAAGGCTGTCCACTATCTCCGATATTGTTCTCGATCTTCATTAACGATATCCTCCCTAAACCGAAGAAGAGACTATTCTCTTGGGAACCCAAGGTTGAGGGTTTGATGTTTGCGGATGACATCGTGGTATTTGCGAGGACGGCAGACAGATTGCAGAAGTTGCTGGATCATGTCTCGGAGTGGGCGAATACATGGGAGATGTCTGTGGGGCATGCCAAATGTGGTGTGATGCTATTTGGTACTGCCGAGAAGAACGCAAACTATGTAGGAAGAGAATGGATTCTCCAAGGAGAACCGATAGCGGTAGTTGAGGAATATACCTACTTAGGAGTGAAGATCACCCCCAAACTGGACAGGAAAGAGATGATGTGGGCGAGAATTGGGAGGATGGAGATGCTCCTAGGTAGCCAAAAGCGATTCCTATGCAACTACAGAATTCCGGCACAGTTAAGAGTCAAAGTACTTCAGAGTGTAGTGCTGACATCCGGGCTCTATGGAGCAGAAGTATGGGGCGGAAACAAGGATGAGGCAAGGAGTGTACAATCAGTGCTAAACAAAGGTCTCAATTACATCCTACAAGCCACCGGGAAGTTTTCTGCATGCATTCCATCGTTGGAACTGGAGTTGGATATGCCTCCGGTGTATCCTATTCTGGTATCAAAGCGATTGCGATGCATGTGGAAGGGGAGGTGGTTGAGTCGCACGTTGGGCGATCTCATAGAGAGTAGGCTGGAATGGTGGTCAACGAAGAACACCTACCTGAAGACGACGGAGAGGATAGCACAGGAAGTGCTGCAGACGGTAGGTAGAGGGATCATCGATGATCACCTGGCATGCGGTAAGGAGGTTCCGGCGCGGTGGCTAGATGAGAGGCGGAAGTGCCATGTCCAGATGGCATTCGAGATGTGGGGTGGAGAGCCACGAAACGGAAATCCTTTTTCGGCCAGAGATCTGGTACGGAGGATGATTCCACGCCTTTGGATACGCCAGCTGCAGGAGAGCACTGCGCAGTTTCTGAGGACGTACTTGACAAGAGGACGAGCCATCAACCGGCGCTACCTGGACTTGTGGTTCAGGCATCCGGAGTTGGCTAGAGGGTGTCAGGTAATCCTGGAAATGCGCTGTGGGAGCTGGTGTTGTGTGGAGACGCGCTACCCTAAGCTAGAAGGGCCAGAAGGGTGTAAGTGTCCTTGCTGTGGAGAGTGCGAGAGGGAGACCCTAGAGCACTTCCTCTTCAAATGCCGGAGATATATGAAAGATTGGCTTTGGTCCGAAGGATCAGAGAGAGGCTCACGTTGGGTGAGGAGTGTGACGTGGAGCCTTTCCCTGATCCGGATGGTTCTCGGATTGGATGATGTGTCGACCCACAAAGCAGAAATACAGGGAGTGAAAAGGAAGTCTGTGAAGAGGGATGCTCTACCTCTGCCCGATAGTCCGAACGACTCAGAGGCAGCTAGTAGGTTGACACGAGCGCTAGAGAAGGACACAAGTCCGAGACGCGGAGGGACAAAGTCGGATCTTAGTGTTGGACCTGCAAGGGGAGATCAAGTAGAGAGCGGGAGAGTTTCGACGCCTGGGGGCGTACCTAAGAGGGAAAAGTAAGTTAGTTGAGTCGCTATCACACCCACCAACTAGCTTTTTGGCGCCGGTTAAGGTGACCTCTTTGCCACAGGTACCGGGTAAAAAGAAGAATATACAATCTGGAATCGACGAGTTTTTCAAGATCGCGGCCAAGTGCTCAGACAAGGACAAGGATTTATCTTCGGACAAGACTTTGAACAAGGACAAGACTGGAACGAGGACAAGATCAAGATGGACTGACAGTAGGAGGACTGTCTTGGACCCGTCGAACCGAAAGCGTCTACGACTACTACAGGAGAGGACATGGAATTGGTTCTCTTTGTGTACCTCGTCTGGGGAATGTAATGATTCGGAAAACCTTGGGAAGGAAGGAAGGATTGTGAGAAAATCCAGACACCATGTATTGGTCATGGAAAGTCTTTTGGTGATGAAGGCGAGCTGGTTGGTTGTGAGGAACTAGCAAGATTCTTGCAAAGAACTTACTATGAACGGCTCACTCTATACGGTATGTGGCATAAAGGGATAGCAAGCAGACCCAGGATGTCATCTAGTGGGAAGAAGTCCAAGGCCGGAAGGTACGGACGTAACAGGCGGTCAACGGCTCGCTCAAGATCTCCCGCAGGTCAATAATTTGTTTGTTTGTTTGTTAACCCTAACATTTTAGAATATATTGCACTTTTCTTTGTGCTCAAAATGGAGTTACATACCAATGTATTGAACAAAAAAGAACCTCCAGGAATTATTTTATGAACGAATATCTATTTAACGGAATACTGGCCATAAAATGTTAGGTTCATATCCAAGGACAATTCGGAGTAGTAGGCAAAGGATATGGTCCAGTTATATCATTGTTGAACATTCCAGTCACTTCCCAATTCCAATTGAAACGACATTGAGCAGCATCTTTCTCATCATTCATATCATAATAGTAAGTTCGAGTCATTATTTGAGACTGGAAAGAATAGTCATCCACACAGAATACAGGATATTTCACCAACATCTCAGCAGCTTCAATTATAACACCAGTTTCAGGAGAACAAGCATTTTTCAATTCCTGGGCAAAATTAGCAGCTCCTAACAAGTTGTATCCATTCATATTCAGATTTATATATCGCAATTTTGGGAAATTCGTTTTATCTGTACACATGTCATTCAAATGAGACACAATTTGATTTGTTAAATCAACAGCATAACCAGGATACATAAATTCTGTAAAAATATCATAGGTAGAAATGTAGTTCTTCACAACATAGAATTCTTCCAAATTTACAAACCAACCCATATACTTGCCTCTTTTCAAATCCTTCAATAGTTCTAAGAATCCTTCACGATATAATGTTCCATCACCAATATAGAGAATACGAGGACGTGTGAATTGAACCAATTTCAAATGAAGTATAGCAAGTTCAGTACTAATAGTTCGACCTCTAATAGGATCGGGTAAAATGTATAAATCGATAGGAGCAGGATTCCATGCTTGTTTACCCAGAGAATCAATCCATAATTCAATATTGATTTTATCAACTCCAGAAAGAGCAATTACACGAGTATGAGCTAAAGCTTTCGTAGGATAAGCATCACGAATTGCCAAATACAATGCAGTAACATTGGTTTCAGAAATGATATCTTGTACACAAGTATCAGGAGTTGCATAATTGCAGTTATCTCCGAGAATGAAAGGATCATAGATGGGGAACCAAGGTTCAGGAGTAGGAGTAGGCGTAGTTAGAGGCATTGTTGGAACTGGACTTGTAGGTGCTTGAGTGACAGGTATTGGGGTTGTGGTTTCATATCCAGGACAATTCGGAGTAGTAGGCAAAGGATATGGTCCAGTTATATCATTGTTGAACATGCCAGTCACTTCCCAATTCCAATTGAAACGACATTGAGCAGCATCTTTAGCATCATTCATATCATAATAGTAAGTTCGAGTCATTGTTTGAGGCTGGAAATATTGTTCATCCAGACAGAATACAGGAGATATTGCCATAGCATCTCCAGCTTCAATTATAACACCAGTTACAGAAGGACAAGCATTTTTCAATTCCTCAGAGAATCCAGCAGCTCCCTGCAAATTGTATCCATTCATATTCAGATTTATGTATTGCAATTTTGGGAAATAGACTTTATTTGTACACATGTTATATAGAATATCAACAATATCTCTAGTAAGATTAGCAGCATAACCAGGACGCTGCGATTCTATATAATAATCATATGCAGCAATGTAGTTCTTCACAACATAGAATTCTTCCAAATTTACAAACCAACCCTTATCTTTGTTATCATTCATATCCTTCAATAGTTCTAAGAATCCTTCACGATATAATGTTCCATCACCAATATAGAGAATACGAGGACGTGTGAATTGAACCAATTTCAAATGAAGTATAGCAAGTTCAGTACTAATAATTCGACCTCTAATAGGATCGGGTAAAATGTATAAATCGATAGGAGCAGGATTCCATACTTGTTTACCCAGAGAATCAATCCATAATTCAATATTGATTTTATCAACTCCAGAAAGAGCAATTACACGAGTATGAGCTAAAGCTTTCGTAGGATAAGCATCACGAATTGCCAAATACAATGCAGTAACATTGGTTTCAGAAATGATATCTTGTACACAAGTATCAGGAGTTGCATAATTGCAGTTATCTCCGAGAATGAAAGGATCATAGATGGGGAACCAAGGTTCAGGAGTAGGAGTAGGAGTTGGAGTAGGAGTAGGTGTAGGAGTGGGTGTAGGTGCTTGAGTGGTGGGAACCTGAGTAGTAGGCGCTTGAGTAGTAGGAGGGTTAACAGGTTCAACATCGACAGGTCCTTCATGGCCTTCATTGTTTTCAATGGTCGTTTTTATCCTAATTACGATTTCAATGGATATCTCCACTCTGTACTCGATTTTAATCACATTGTTCATCGCATTCATACTCAGAACAAATTGAATATCGACACTCACTTGAGTCAGTACCACAATGCTAATGTTTTGCATGGAATTAGTACCAACAACCACTTTTTTCAATGCAGGAGTGTTGAGTACTAATTTTCCAGATACATCCAGCAATCTTCGAGTAGTAGCCAGTCCAGAGAAGCAATTCTCACCAATTATTAACTCTTCCAGAACAGGTGCATTTATCTCAATATACTGGGTATTCATAAATGTGTTATTCTCGAATATCAGGATTTTCAAATAAGGGAAATCGAGCACAACAAACGTTACATTGTTGAAAGAACCTTCCTTGAATGTCAGCTTAGTTACATCTTTTGGAATGTTGTCGATTGAGCCAATGCTGTCATCCACTACAATTTCCTTAGGACCTTCTGTAGGAGTCGGTCCAAAATTGAATGTTGAGGTATATTCAGCATCCGAACTCATCGTAAACAAAAACGAAGCACCCATATAATACAGCTCAACTTTCGAACCTGAATCCCAGCCATTCGATCCACTGTCCTTTAACAGAATAGTGTGCAAAACTGGATTAATCCAGATTTCTTCAGTGCCCGTTACACAGCCTGTTACACTATATATTGGTTCCGACGACAGATAATCTTCTCCTTCAAATATAGCAAACGATTCCTCCTCAGGAGCCGTAGTTCCACAAGTACGCACTATTTGAATTAGTAACTTTCCTGGAACAGTAGGAGCCTGAGTGGTAGGAACCTGGGTAGTAGGAGTTTGAGTGGTAGGAGCCTGAGTGGTAGGAGCCTGGGTAGTAGGAGCCTGAGTGGTAGGAGCCTGGGTAGTAGGAGCCTGAGTGGTAGGAGCCTGGGTAGTAGGAGCCTGAGTGGTAGGAACCTGGGTAGTAGGAGCTTGAGTAGTAGGAGCTTGAGTGGTAGGAGCTTGAGTAGTAGGAGCTTGAGTGGTAGGAGTTTGGGTAGTAGGAACCTGAGTGGTAGGAACCTGAGTAGTAGGAACCTCCGAGGTCGGACCTTCGGCCGTGGGGGTAATCGTGGGAAGACTATCGATTGGTCCCGACGCAAACTTGATCGACATCGCATATCCAGCAATTCCAGCATAGTTCGCATTCGTATCGCTATCCACGACAGGGAGATTCATCTCGATATTCTCGCAAGGCACTACGTTGAAAGTCACGGTCCATTTCTTTTCATCGAATCCCTTCATCACACCGTACAAAGAAGGTTCATCCGTAGCTCCCGTGTAAATGTCATCGCCTGTTACATCGTTCACAGTCTTCATTCGAACCAGGTCTAGAGCCATCAGCACAATCACAGGATCTCCCTCAGCAACAAAGTTCATCAATCCGCTCTTGTTCGGAATATCGTTCTTCGTCACTTCAAAATAGAACTTGTTCACATCAGCAGTACAAAGATCTTCTTCTGAAATCTGATTGGCATCGTTTTCAGTCATCAAACCCTTCTCTCTAACAAACTCTATCATATCTGATGGAGAAACTTCATTGAACTCAACTTCCTGACTTTCCTTCAAACACTTCAACACATAGGGCAAAGAAAAGTGTGCATCACGTTCCTCTTTTCGCAAAGCAGCTTCAGCAGCAAGAACCAAAGCACTGGCCCATGAAGTGGAGTCCGAGTTCGAGACAGAATACTTTTCAGTTCCCTCGCACAAATCACGACCAACAACATACTCGTTTGGCCAGGAGGGTGCAGGAGTACTCTCAGGCTCAGCATAGGAACCTTCTCCAGAATACTTCACTCCAAGATCCATCATTTTTTCCAGGTCTTCGTCACTAAAATCAGATAGAATGGAGAAATTCATAGGGTATTTTCTGTAGGGAGCCTTTTTCTGGATGTCCTCACAAGATTGTTGCCAATCACTTAAATGCTTCCTATGTATCATATTATATATTTGTATTTACGATATATAGTCATCAAGTGGCTCATCGCCTTTTGACTTATACTCTTTTAGGTACTCTCTCATATCTTTTTCCGTACAGGAATTCGTTGACAAAGCATACAGTACTTGAGATACTATCAAGAAAATGAGAATGGATTGAATGCAATTCATCCTTTTAATAAAATGATGCATTAAGAGTACATTTTTCCATAAATCAAGGCAAAATTTTACAGAGGTTCGTTTCCTTAATGCTATATTATTACATCTAATTTACATAATTACGGTATGATCCCTGGAAATATAGAACTTGGCCCCTTGCCTAGTATAGTTGGTTTTTCTTAGGGTACGGTATTTCCTGATAATAACAATTTCGTACGCGGTATCGCTTTTTACATTTACTGAAGAGAAGCATGCAGCCTAACGTTATATTCAAGAATCTACGCGGACATTTTTTGTGGTCTGGCTTAAAAAAGAGATAATGATGTATAATTTTGTATGTATCAATACATATAATGCTAGATGTGTATTATTGGCGTGTTCTGATTGTTTCGCATTTCTGCCTTGAACATTCACTCTCGAACAGCTATGATCGTTTATAAGCCTTCTATCAAAATATTATATTTGATTATGCAATCATTTAGGTTCCTATTATAGTTCGCATTTCACCGGTGATTCTTATTAATAGTGAGACCCATATTAATTCTTCGCTTCTTTAGCCATATTTTTTGGGGAACTGACATCTAGACAAGCGTTTTACACTTGTGACCATTATATCATGCTTTTCTTTCACAATTTTTGTCTTATTGTATGCTATTCCTTCTATTTTCAACCAAGTCTCTTAGCAATACGACTTAATAAAGGGATTAAGGTTATTTGACCATTTAGTTTTTAATGGTCCAATTCTTTTCCATAATAGTATTTCAAGTAGTTCCACTATGTAGAATGTCATTTCATGGCTTTCATTACTCCGTAGAAGGAATGGAAGATGGAATTGTTTCTTATCCTATTTTGAAATAGACGTACAGCTTTTTAACTTTATTTTTTTATTCTAGGCGCCCCATCAGAAGGGCTAATATAGAGAGAATATACTT